TTTCCAAACCTCTGCTCCGGTCTGGGGGCCAATTATGACAGATTTCCTGGTGCCTCTCCTTTTGAAGGGACCCATGCCCACACCCCCACCATTCGCACACACTTCTGTGGGGAACACTTCCTCCAATACTATTGACCCCCCTTCCCCACCTGCCCCGGCCCTTGGCCTGTGTGCCATGGAAGCCTCACTCACAGAAGCTGGGTGGGGCTGGGGGCCCTCAGGGCAAACATGAAAAACAGAAAGAGATGGCAGGAACCTGGTGCCCAGCCCCACACCTGCGATCTGTGCTTCTCGAGGCCGGTCTGTCTGAGTTACTCTGACAACTCTGGCCTGGGGCAGACAGACACCCTCCCACCCTAGGCCCTGTTTGGCCTCCCAGGGACCCTGTAGCCGCCCTCTCCATGCCTCTCTGAAGGGGTGTAGGGAGGTGGGATTGCGTTTGGAGAGCAAAAGCACCTCCCTTAGAGGCCCTGCTGTGCCTTCTAGACTGGACGTGTGGACAAGAATGTGCCCACAGTCTGCGGCCACACGGCCCCCGTGCTGGACATCGCCTGGTGCCCACACAATGATAATGTCATTGCCAGTGGCTCTGAGGATTGCACAGTCATGGTGAGTGGTGGTGGGCACACAGGGGCAAGGAGGGGGCTCCGAGACAGGCTCTGACATTTGGAACACCCAAGACTCACCTGCCCCTTCTCCATAGGTCTGGGAGATCCCTGATGGGGGCCTGACGCTGTCCCTGCGGGAGCCTGTCGTCACCCTGGAGGGCCACACCAAGCGTGTGGGCATCGTGGCCTGGCACCCCACAGCCCAGAACGTGCTGCTCAGTGCAGGTGCCTTGGGGGAGAAGAGGGGTGGGCTGGCAGCGAGGGGGCAGGCTCATGGCTTCTGACACTGAGGACATCACCCAGGTTGTGACAACGTGATCCTGGTGTGGGACGTGGGCACTGGGGCAGCCGTGCTGACGCTGGGCACAGATGTGCACCCAGACACAATCTACAGCGTGGACTGGAGCCGAGACGGTGGCCTCATCTGCACCTCCTGCCGTGACAAGCGCGTGCGCATCATCGAGCCCCGCAAAGGCACTGTTGTGGCTGTGAGTTGCCGTGAACCATAACCCTTGACCCAGAGACCTTCAGCTCTTCTGTCTACCACCAATCATGCCCCTAGTTGCTACCTTCTCCTGCCCATCCCGGGGGTCTGGCCCTCAGGGTGTGTGTATGGGTGCCTGACTGACCACCTCCCTTTCCTTCCAGGAGAAGGACCGTCCTCATGAGGGGACCCGGCCTGTGCGCGCTGTGTTTGTGTCTGACGGAAAGATCCTGACCACAGGCTTCAGCCGGATGAGTGAGCGTCAGGTGGCACTGTGGGACATGGTGAGTGCAGAGAATCAGGACTGGAGGCTCAGTCCCTGCCCTGCCACCTGAATGGCTGTATACCCAGGGCCCGTTTACTGACCACTGGTTGGTCTGTAGGGGGTTGCCTCCTGCCCAGTGAAGAGCACCACCCTGGGGCCTGATGCAGCCCAGCTCACTGTCACCTCCCACCTGTCTCTGCAGAAGCACCTGGAGGAGCCACTGTCACTGCAGGAGCTGGATACAAGCAGTGGTGTCCTGCTGCCCTTCTTTGACCCCGACACCAACATTGTCTACCTCTGTGGCAAGGTGGCCCAGTTGGGCGGGGAGTCTGGGAAGCGAGGTGGGCAGAGGGGTCTGGAAAGAACCACAGCTGCAGGCATCTGTCGGTGCTGATCTTCCCTTGCACCCACTGCCTGCAGGGCGACAGCTCCATCCGGTACTTTGAGATCACTTCCGAGGCCCCATTCCTGCACTATCTCTCCATGTTCAGTTCCAAGGAGTCCCAGCGTGGCATGGGCTACATGCCCAAACGTGGCCTGGAGGTGAACAAGTGTGAGATCGCCAGGTGACTGATCCCCGACCAAGCATGCTCTTAGGGCAGTGCTGACCTCATGCTGACTTTCAGTCCCAGCCCAGCTGCGCTGTGGACACTGCTCACTTTCCTGTTTCCACAGATTCTACAAGCTGCATGAGCGGAGGTGTGAGCCCATTGCCATGACAGTGCCTAGAAAGGTGATGCTTCCATGTCCCTCCTTGGGCTGTGGGCTGGGCACTGACCTTGCAGAGCTGCAGGGTGGTGGTGTGGCCTGAGCATGCTCTTAACCAGCCTTGGCCTTGCCCGCAGTCGGACCTGTTCCAGGAGGACCTGTACCCGCCCACCGCAGGGCCTGACGCTGCCCTTACGGCCGAGGAGTGGCTGGGCGGTCGGGATGCCGGGCCCCTCCTCATTTCCCTCAAAGATGGCTACGTGCCCCCAAAGAGCCGAGAGCTGAGGGTCAACCGGGGCCTGGACACTGGGCGCAGGAAGACAGCACCAGAGACCAGTGGCACTCCTAGCTCGGTGAGAGATGTATACAAGGCTGGAAATTAGGGTGGGAAGACAGAGAAGAGCAGGGGCTACTACTGATGTGGTCATTAACCCAGTGGAGAGAGGCTGGCCTTTGAGGCAGCCCAAGCTTACAGGGGCCTGGGAATGGGTAATCCTGAGGCCTCAGAAAACAGGCTTCAGGCTTATAGGCCTGCAGCTCTCTGGGCTACGACTGACCGAGAGACAGAAGGGCCCTGGCCCTAGGGTTCTTGGGAGAAGACTTAGTGGACTCCAGGGTTAAGGGAGCCCAGGATGGAGCTGGGCCTAATGCAGCCCTGGGTTCTCCAGGATGTCGTATCCCGGCTGGAGGAGGAGATGAGGAAGCTTCAGGCCACAGTGCAGGAGCTACAGAAGCGCTTGGATAGGCTGGAGGAGACAGTCCAAGCCAAGTAGAAGACTCTGGGGCCTTCGGCTGGGGCCCACGGCATCACCTGCCTCCCCTTCCATTCATACTTCCACTCCTCAGGCCACAATGGCAGATACAATAATAAAATGGCTTTATTTTCTGGTACCTCTCAGACTCTGATGACTGGCCACGTGAATGCTGAGTCTGCTCAACTGACATGCCCTTGAGTTTCCACCTTGATATAATCGATCCATGGCAGGGACTGAGCGATGCCTCTGAACGCCCTAGACTACAGGAACAGGTGTTGGCGGCTGGCAGCCACCCCATTCTGGTGTGGTTTGGGGGCCTGCTGTTTTCCGGCAGGCAGGTCTGACTATTCCAGGCCCTAGCCTGGGGCCTGAGGAACTCCCATGTTTACCCCAAATCTGCCTTTTCTAGCCAACCACATCAGGGTACGTGCAACTATACTGACACCGTTGCTTGTGGGGAAATGAGAAACTAGCACTTACATGACACCTTTCAAACTGTATGCTTCAGGGGTCATTTTTAAGGTGAAAGCTTACAAGAAAGCAACAGCCTACCCTAGTTTACAGATGAGGAAACTGAGGCATTGAATAGTTGAGGGGCTTGCTGAAGGGCAGCTCCCATGTCACAACTTGTCTCCTCTTCTAGTTCAGAGCCTTCCCTGGGCAGTGTTGCTGCCTCTTGAGCCCTCAGTGTGGGTTCTGCCTGAGCCTGGCCTCTGTGAGAGAGGAACCTGAATAGACCTGCCAGGCCTTATCAAGCGGGGATTTGGAAGCGGGTTCCTGATACTCAGCTGAGTGGGTGACCCCGAGCTGGGACACAGGGCTATCAGAATTGGGTGTCCTGGCCACAGCAGGGTTTGGTTCACATAGGGACAGCAAGCATAGGGACAGCAAGGACGTAATGCCCCGTCTGCTGCCCCGTCCCCCTCTTCAGCATGCCAGAGAAAACCGCCTGGGTAGAGAGCTGAGGCAGCTATAAGATTGTTTTTGCCGGCTCATTTTGGTCTCACCCTTTCTGCAAGCCATGTTACCCTGGGCAAGTCACTCCTTTCCAGGCTTCTGTTGCCCATCTGTGAAATGGGAAAAGGACCACCACAACCCTGAGAATGCAGTGAGTGGATCCAATCAGGGGTGTGAAGAGAGAATCAGAAAATCTGGAGCCTGGGCTTGCCAAAGAGGTGAGGTTCCTGCTCCAAACCTGTCCTGTAGAATGGGGATGGGCCCATCGGAGTAGACTCAGTTGCTAACTCTCCTTCTGGCCCAGAACAGTGGGGAAAAAGTTCAGGGAAGGATCCCTAGAAACCAGAAGAGTTAACCTATCATCACCATGACTTCCAGCTTTACCAACCCTTTCTCCTTATGACAGAAACAAGAGAGGGAGGTGGGGATGGAGATAACGTAGGGGCCAAAAAACCGGCCTTGAAAACAGGGGGGAACAGGATGGGTAGGATGGCTGAAACCTGTGATTCGTACTCCCGAAGAGCCCCGGCCCACAGTGGGTCTCAGGGCTCTTGTGTTTCTGTGCCAATCCTAGCACTTGTGTTTAAGCTGCAGGTTGGCTTTATTTTCCTGTTCTACCCTTATTCCCATCCTCTGCCCACACCACCATTCCTGAAAACCTTATGGTCTTCCCATGGGCACCCGTAGCCATGTCAAGCCCAGGGCTAAAAAAGTCACTGGACCTTCTCCAGTGGGCCCCACAACATCAGCATTCCTGCTGTCGGAGAGCAGCTGGGATACCACGTCCCTGAGGGAACCTGCAGGGGAAGTGCGGAATCCTCTACTATGCTTCTGACATTGGGGTCATGTTGGTGAGAGGGACAGGTTTGTTCAATTGGCCAGCACCCTGAAATCTTGAGTACTTTCTCATCTGTGCACCCTGAAGGCTGGCAGAGGGCAGTAACACCCAGTATTGCTCTATAAATGGGCAGGTTTGTTGGGTAGTGGTGGTAGTCCTAGGGGTCTACCAAGAATTACACAAAAGACCTGTGAGGCCTGTCCTAGAAGAGATTTTAAGAATTGAACTTTCACTTTATAAGTGGGGACACATAGGCCTATGTGTGGAGAGGGACTTTGCCCAAGGGAAAACAATGGAGAGTGGCAGGGCAGGGAGAAGCCAGGCCCCGGGCCGCCTCAGCATCCCTCCCACACATAGGAACACAGAAACACACCAACACAGAAACTGGCCCTGATTCATAATTTAATGGCTGTGCAGGTCCTGGTCCCTTATTTCTGCTGCTCACGGGCCCACTGCTCTGGGGTCAGGGTTTTCTGTTCAAAGGCATGGATATGCGGAAGCTCTTCTGCTAGGCACGCGTTCACCAGCCTGAGGGAAAGATGGTGTTAGGAAATGGCAGGCGCCTGGAGTTACAGTCCCCAAAGCTAGGTGGACCCGGGAGACTGGAGGTGTCCCTAGGTTGTAGTCCCCAGGACCTGGGAACAAGAGAGATAGAGGACCTAAGTCTCAATACTGGATTCGGGGATGAGAAGGAGGGATCATTGGAGTTGTAAGTCCACGATGCTAGGCCGCATTGGCCAGGGCGAGAAAATTGGGTGGTAGGCAGTGGCCCGGGTTTTGTTCCCAGAGCTGGGACCGCGCTGAGCGAGGCGTTCGCCCGGGCCTCACCGGTGTCTTTGAAGCAGCGGCTTCCCCTCGAACTTGGCCGACACCACCAGGACTCGGAAGCTGGACGCGCAACGGTTGGGAGTAGTGTCCTCCACTTCCTATGGGGCAGAATGGTGTGGATGGTGACAAACCATCCACCTAGGAGCCCTTTTCCACTCTCTGGGTGAATCCAGGCCGCTCAACTTACCACGTGATCTGCCTCCAGGTCCCGCTGCAGCTTCTCCCGGAGGTACTCGGTGCTGAGTTCCATGGTTGAAGCCCAAAGGGGGCGGCAGCCCAAAGGGGGCCGCAGCGGCCCAGTGAGGGCAGAACTCCTGTACAGACGCAGGTCACGCTACTTCCACCCTTACTGGAGTCACTTCCGCTGAGGCCTCTACTTCCGCCCTTAAGAAGTCTGTAAACTCGGCTCTTCCGCTTTCATGCACGCCCAGCTTTCCAACCTTTCTAGGTTTCCGCGCTTACTGTCAATCAACCAATCAGAGTCTGCACACGGACCGACTCCTCCCCAGCCGAAGCTAGCTGGTGTCCTCTCCTGCACAGACACCTGGGTTCCGTGGGCGGTATTGGACTCCTTAACTCCAGCCAGGAAAGGGTGCACGAACCCGCCTTGCTGCAGCTTCTAGGATACCTCGGAGTCGCCCCCAAGCGCTTTTTCCTAGATAAGCACATTGAGGCCCTGGCAACCCAAGCCACAGCAATCAACCCACAAGTCTTGATGGGACCCGCGGGAGGAGCGACAAGGCCCGGCCGCTTCTTCGGCGTCTACCTGCTCTATTGCCTGAACCCTCGGCACCGGGGCCGCGTCTATGTGGGGTTCACCGTCAACCCTGCTCGTCGGGTCCAGCAGCACAACGGGGGCCGCAAAAAAGGCGGGGCTTGGCGGACCAGCGGGCGCGGGCCCTGGTAAGAAGGGGCGGATCACTTAGGAGGAGGGCGTCAGGAGGAGGTGGGGCCCACAGGGTACAGGCCAGTGGCAGTGGGCTGGGGCGGAGAGAGGAGCCTGGGGTAGCTAGAAACGTAGATGGGCCTATCTCGAGGGAGGAGCCTGTGAGAGGGGGAATCCTGTGAGACTAGACTACGGGACTCAGAGGCGGGGCTGGGTAGGAAGGGGACTAGTGATTTAGGCTTGGTTTAGCGATAGGGGGTTGGTGAACTGGCTGGGAGGGAAGATGGAGACCCAGATAGATAGATAGGGAGAGAACTGAGGAACGCAGTTGACTGGAGGCGGATCCCGAAGTTGGCAGGTGGAGAGAGGGTCGGACCTCTAAGAAGTGGGCAGGGCCTCATGGGCGAGGTTTGACATGGTTTGTGAGGATTCCTCTCTCTGGTAGGACTGACAGAGAACTGTGACGAGGGAATTGGGCAGGACACAGAAGGGGGCAAGGGGCTCACAGGCCGCGCCCTTATTCTGTTCCCCAGGGAGATGGTGCTCATCGTGCACGGCTTCCCTTCCTCCGTGGCCGCCCTTCGGGTAATTCAGGAGGCAGGGCTGGCGGGAAGATGGTCTGGGGCTTGGGGTCCTCTCTGGACAATCCTGAGACCCTCACTTCTGCCCGCAGTTTGAGTGGGCCTGGCAGCACCCTCACGCCTCGCGCCGCCTGGCACACGTGGCTCCACGCCTGCGCAGTGAGGGAGCCTTCGCTTTCCACCTGCGCGTGTTGGCGCACATGCTGCGCGCGCCGCCCTGGGCGCGCCTCCCGCTCACCCTGCGCTGGCTGCGCGCTGATTTCTGCCAGGAGCTCTGCCCACCACCGCCGCCACACGTGCCGCTAGCCTTCGGGCCTCTGTCACCTGGAGTTTTGGCCTCCAAGCGCAAGACCAATCTCTTTGCTGACACGGAGCCCCAGCCAGAGCAGAATGCTGAGGCCCCCTGCACCCTTTGCGCGCGTGCACTCCAGGTGAGAGGCCCCACCTGGTCTCCAGGTTGGGGCAGCTCTACACTTAGACGATTTAGGATTAAACTGTTTATTGAGGGATCACACGGCCCACTGACACCCTTTGGCAGCTCTGCTTCCATCTGAAAAATGGGGAGAATAATAGTACCTGTGGTCATTCCTCGACATTCCTCCAACTTGGGGCCTTTGCCCTTTCCTCTTCACTGGAAAGTTCTTCTGTAGACCTTCAGTCTTGATAAAATGCCACCTCTTCTCCATGAGGTCTTCCTTGGCTCTCTATCTAAAATTGCATATTTCTTGGTAAGAGAAAGATGCAATTCCTTTTTCCTTTTTTTTTTTTTTTTAAGCCTTACCACTTCTTGTCTGACATATCCTGTACAGTTGACTCTTGAACAACATGGAGGTTAGAGGCGCTGACCCTGAGCAGTCGAGAGGCCACGTGTAACTTTTTACTCCCCCCCCATCGGCCCCCTCCACCCCCGGTATCCATACAGGATTGGTTCCAGTACCCCTCCACCCCCTGGGATGCTCTAGTCCCTTATATAAAATGGTATAGAACAGTGCATACAGTCGGCCTTCTGCATCTGTGGGTTCCCAGCTCTGGATCAAAAATACCATTTTTAATCTCTGGTTGGTTGAATCTGCAGATGCAGAACCCTGGTGGGATATGGAGGGTCCACTGTGTATTTATTGGGAAAAAGATCATGTGTAAGTGGACCCCTGCAGTTCAAACCTGTGTTCTTCAAGGGTCAACTGTATTTTATTTATTTTATTATGGGTTTCTCCTGCCCCCCCCATACTAAACTCCACAAGGGCAGTTCTTATTCAGTGCTGTAGAACAGAGTCTAGTACACAGCAGGGGGCAAGTAAGTATTCAGTATGTTAACCGAGATGTAGGTCTGACTTCCACTCATAGTAAATGTAAGTAAGCTGAGTATAGTCAAATGCTGCTTAACTAGGGGAATACATTCTGAGAAATGTGTCCTTGGGCAATTTAGTGGTGTGAACATCATAGAGTGCACTTATGCCTATCTGGATGATACAGTCTATTACACATAGGCTCTACGACATACTTCCATCATATATGTGGTTCCTCGTTGACTGAAATGTTATGCCATGCATGACTGTACTTGCCATTCAGAGCTTTAGTGACCTGCTTGCAATCACTTACTCTGTAAAGAACTCTAATCTAGGTCCAGCTGCAGGGGCCATGCTGTTTTGGAACCACTGCCAAAACTCAGAGAAAACTGGCCAGCTTAGTCCCTACAGGTATTGTAACCCCGCCACGCCTGTTTCCTCACCTCTCATACACAAATAGGAGTAGTACGTGCCTCACAGGGTTGTTTTATGCAAAGCCCTTGGAAAAGTGGTCCATGGAAATTCTTTGTTATTGCTACACCACTACTCCCCATTTTCTTTACCTGCCTGCCATCTCTGACAGGATGAAGAAGGCCCCTTGTGTTGCCCCCACGCTGGCTGTTCCCTAAGGGCCCACATGATCTGCCTGGCACAGGAGTTCCTGCAAGAGGAGCCAGGGCAGCTTCTGCCCCTAGAGGGCCAGTGCCCTGGGTGAGTCCAGTATCCCTACCCCAGCCAGGTGTACCTCTGGGAAGACAGTGCCCAGTTGTCCAAGTCTGAACCCAGGGTATCTGAGTCCCCATCTTGGCACCCAGGGCCTAGCCTGGAGGCAGCTTGTGACCCTGACTCCGTATCTTCTGCAAACTCTACCCCTTGGTAGCTGTAAGAATTCGCTGCTGTGGGGAGACCTGGTCTGGCTGTGCCGGATGGGCACTGAGGAGGAAGAGGAGGACTTGGAATTAGAAGAGGTAAGAGATGGTTTTGGACTCTACCTCACCCTATCCCCTAAGCTGCCTCTGACCACCCTTCTTGTCCCCACAGGAACACTGGACAGACATGCTGGAGATCTGATCCTCAGCATCCCCGCCCCTCCACCCGTTCCTTTTCTGTGACACTTCCTTTTGGTGTGGGCAGTTTTTACTTGAGTACAATAAAAAGTTTGAGTTAAGCTCTGACTGGTGTGGCTCAGTGGGGTGAGTGCTGGCGTGTGACCCAAAGGGTTGCTGGTCCCATTCCCAGTCAGGGCGCATGCCTGGGTTGCCCGCAACGTTCCCAGTAGGGGGCGAGTGGGAGGCAACCACACACTGATGTTTTTCTTCCTCTCTCCTCTCTCTAAAAAGAAACAAACAAAAATCTTTATAAAATTAAAAAAAATATTCTTAAGAGTTAAGGGACCTTATGGTGTGTGCCGGGATGCGTGTGTGGAGCTAGCAGGCTGAGGCCTGTGGAGAGCAGGAGGGGAAGGGGCCATCCCGCAGCATGGACCAGCCTCGCTTCTGCTGGAGGCCTCTCTGCCTCAGCGTTCCCAACCTTCTGAGGTTACGGTGTTACAGCCTTGACTCAGAGCTGCCCCGCCTCCAGTGTTCAGCTTGACTTTGGACCTTAATCCAAATATAAGGATAAAGGTCCAGGCTCCTTCAAATCCAGGGAAAGAAAAGCATTTTCTGGGGCCTGTTCTTCCACTGTTTGAGCCTGGCCACATAGGGACTGTGGAACTGGGCTCACTTCCAGGTTATGAGACTGCAGCCTTCTTGGTCTGTTCCATCTTCTGCTGCCTCAAGAGCCTGCTGAGCAATGCCTGGCCCCCAACCCCCTCCCCACCCACCCACATCACTACGGAACGTCTGGGCGGCCTGGGGACTGTAGGTTGCCCAAGACCTGAACATGTGGTGTCTTCGGACTGGTGTGTAGCCACCTTTCCCCTCCACTCACTCTTCTGTCCCCTCTAGACGAGAAAAAAGCTGTTTCTTTTATTAGAAAAAGCTGACAAAACAAAACAAAAAACAAGACAGCTATCTGGTCAGGAGCCAGGATTATAGCCCCGCCCCCACCACTGGTCCTCCACCCAAACAAAACAAAATTTATTAAGCTCTATTGTCTAGATTCAGTCTTTTATCTTCTACACACTAATCTCACATGTTGGGTTTCCAGGCCAGTCTCATACTGACTGGCTTGGGTGCTACGGAGGGTAGCAGGGGGGCCTCCCACCCCAAGCACCACCCTTTCTTTCTTGGAGAAAGCTCAGTCTGGGAGAGGCTCCAAATCCCTCCCACTTTGGTTATAAAACTCAGTTCTGAGCATTTCTGCACTTACTAGACTGCACTCACACTAAGCCACAGCAGGAGATAGTCACAAGGCTAAGGTCCAGAGAGGTCAGGTAAGTGGCAGGATGGGGGTGGAGTGGACCGGACGTCCCTTACTCACCACTGAGCTCCTGTGGCTTGGTCCCTGTTCCTGGCTCTAACAACTCTGCGCTGTCCCCATGGAAATCTCAGCTCAACCCACCACCAGCTCTAGCTTGGCCTCAAACCCCCTCTCGCACTTTGTTCATTCACTTGCTAGACTTTGGCCCCCAAACAAGCTCAATTGCTCAACTGGCTGTTTATTTCTGAGTCCAAGTGGAGTGCGTCTGAGCAAGTGGAGCCACAGGCCCAGCTGGCCTTTGGGAGGTTTCTCTATATGAGGGGTCTAGGGAGCTCAAAGAGGGAAGGACTGGGAAGAGCCCATGGAGGCTGAGTCCCAGCAGGAAGTAGTGAAAGAAAGAACAGAGTCCTACTGCCAAGTGATGTCATGGGTTTGGGGTGTACCTCAGGCAGTGGGATTTGTAAAAGCTCTGCAGGTAAGTCCAAGGTGCAGTCAGAGTTGTGGCCTACTGCATCAGATCTGGCTGGGGATCCAGCCCCGGCACTCACTAGCTCTGTGAGTGAGAAAAAGTCGCTCAGCCTCTTAAAGCAAGAAAAAGTTGCTCCCTCAGCCTCTTTATCTTAAAGAATTCAACAGATGGAACTGTTGTGATGTTGTTAAGGGAGGTGAGCCCCACTCTGGCCCTTGATTTGGCAGCATGGAGTTGGTCCAGGACACCTCCCGCCCACCTCTAGAGTATGTGAAGGGGGTCCCTCTCATCAAGTACTTTGCAGAGGCATTGGGACCACTGCAGAGCTTCCGAGCCAGGCCTGATGACCTGCTCATCAGCACCTACCCCAAATCTGGTAAGTGATGGAGGACCACCCACCCCTCTCCTGGCCCACCTTGGGCCAGCAGGGGCACACCCTCAGCCCCTGCTTACCTCCCATTTTCCTCTCCAGGCACCACTTGGGTGAGCGAGATCCTGGACATGATATACCAGGGTGGTGACTTGGAGAAGTGTCGCAGGGCCCCCATCATCACGAGGGTGCCCTTCCTTGAGTTCAAGGGTCCAGGGGTTCCCACAGGTGTGTGGTGGGGTACTAGGGGCAAGTGAGGTGGAGGGAGGTAGGACCTGGGCTCCAGTTCGCTGGACTTTTCCCTACCCATGGTTTAGGAATGGAAGTTCTGAGAGATACACCAATCCCACGGCTCCTCAAGACCCACTTGCCCCTGGTTCTGCTCCCCCAGTCCCTGCTGGATCAGAAGGTTAAGGTGAGTGGCAGAGGAAGCCAGAGAAAAAGGCCTGCTGGGGCCATCCCAGCTTTGACCCTATCTTCTGATAAGGTCTCCTTCCTTCCTGAAGCTTGGCATCATCTTAAAGGGGGAGAGGTCCTGAACCTCAAGCTCTGGTGGGGTCAGATGGTCAGTGAAAGTGAGACTCTTTGCAGGGTCTGGGTGCTCACAGGCCTCTGGACAAGGGGGCTGGCAGGAACTCTGCACACCTTGTTCCAAATCTGCTTAGTGGCATTGAGGGGATTGGGTTCATATAATAGTTCGTGGGACCAGCCACGACTTTGGCATCAGAGCAGGGTTCACACCCGGCTCACTCACGTCCACACCATGGGAACTCAAGCAAGTCAGCCTCTAAGCCTGTTTTCCTCCAGGCCAAACCAAGAGAACCTCCCTTCAGGGATGCTGTGAAGGGTGGAATGCTATACTTAAAAGCATGTAGTGTCTGTGGTGTGCTATGTGATTATGTGACGTAGGGGTGTGTCTTCGGCTCCTCCAGGTGGTCTATGTTGCCCGGAACGCAAAGGACGTGGCTGTCTCCTATTACCACTTCTACCGCATGGCCAAGGTGCACCCTGACCCTGGCACCTGGCACAGCTTCCTGGAGAAGTTCATGGCTGGGGAAGGTGGGCCTGACTCTGGAGGAAGGAGTGGGGTAAAGCTGAGGGGTAGCCAGCTAAAACTAATACCAACCTCTGTCTGTGCCCCCCGCCCTTTTCCCCAGTGTCCTATGGGTCCTGGTACCAGCACGTGCAGGAGTGGTGGGAGCTGAGCCGCACCCACCCTGTTCTCTACCTGTTCTACGAGGACATGCTGGAGGTGAGCACAACTGCTACCACTTCCCTCCATGTTGCATATGTGGTGGGAGGAGCCTCATGGGAATCTGCCAAGGTCGTCTCAGCCCCCTCCCCTATGGCAGCCCCCACACTGGTCCTACTCAATCCCCCAAGTCACCTTCCCTGCCCAGAGCTTCGGTGCCACCTGGGCAGCAGCACCCTGTACAGCTCTTAACTCCTGGCGTCTCAGTCAATGCCGCGTGCAGTCGTCAATCACCCATTTACTGCTACTGCTTCTCCTTGGGGGCTACAGCTATGACAAGGGCTGTCCCTGCCCTCATCCACAAGGAACCAGACACTGCTTACTCACAGATCATAGGACAGAAGGCAGTTAACTTTGCCCCAGTAACAGAGTACCAGGGAGTCAAGGAGCAGGGTCAGAAGTGGCCATGAGGTGAGAGAGGGGCCTCCCTTTTGTTCAAAGAACAACCAGATCTCCACTGAAGAGCCCCTCTGCTCCTCCAGAACCCCAAAAGGGAGATCCAGAAGATTCTGGAGTTTGTGGGACGCTCCCTGTCAGAGAGGACTGTGGATCACATTGTGAAACACACATCATTCAAGGAAATGAAGAAGAACCCCATGACTAACTACAGCACCGTACCCACTGAATTAATGGACCACAACATTTCTGCCTTCATGAGGAAAGGTGAGTGCCCACCAGGATGGGTGTTTGGGGAGACGAGGGGGCAAACAGTGGCCAGAGCTGGCCCTGAACCCCCCTGGGGCCTCCCCTGCAGCCAGGACCTTGAGTCTCTCTCCTTCCCTGCCCACCTCCCCAGGCATCACGGGGGACTGGAAAACCATGTTCACTGTGGCCCAGAATGAGCGCTTTGATGCCGACTATGCTGAGAAGATGGCAGGCTGCAACCTCAACTTCTGCTCAGGGCAGTGAGTAGTGTTCACTGGCATCACACTCCACGGTGAATGGCGTGAAACCAGCCTGGCAATGCCTCAAGAATAAAATACAATTTGTGTTGCATGAAGTGCCTCTGTTGGAAGCAAAGCAAATCTGAACTAAATGAGCCCCCCTGCAGCCTCCAGTTCCCCAACTGGCCCTATGTGAGGAAGGAAGGGTAAGAACAGTCTGGAAAAGTAAAACCCAGGAGACATAGGCAAAGGGGAAGAATATTTATTTGATCACAATCTTTTGTTGCGTTCCTCCTTGCGGAGGGCGGGGCACTCTGATCCTGCCAGCCTGCTTCACTTCTTTTTGGGCTCCTTACAAGCCACCACATACCTCTGGGCCACATTGAGGGGAGGGGAATAACCATCTGCATAGGAAGTGTCTTCGAACAGGACCGAATAGTCATCCTGGGGCTGTGGCGGGAAGCGGACAGGAGGCGCTGGTCAGAAACCCCCAGGCAAGGCCTCCCACCCCCACCCCTATCAGCCTGGGCTGATAGGAGCCCCTGGTGCATGGGCTCCTAGCCTTTCCTGTCCTCATCTGCACCTGAGAAGTCTAGATGTTTGAACCCAGTCCCTGCCACTACAGCTCCTCTCAGCATCAAAGGGTCAAGGGATGAAGAGCACAGAAAAGGGGACTGGCTACCTACACAGACAGGCCACCATGGAAGGGACTGGTGCTTTTCAGGGACTCTATGTTAAAGGGAGCGAGGACAACTCAGAGGACAGCAGGCAGGGATCTGAAGGAAGAGCAGAGAAGAGCCTTTAAACGGCTATCTGTGAAAGGTGGCCAGGGTGCCAGCAACAGCATCACAAGCTCAAGGAAAAGCAGCCTCAAGTGAAGAAAGGGCAGTGATGCAGGAGTCGGGGGCTGGAAGACAGTCCCTGGGCATGGCACTTCCAACAGGGGGCTCAGGCTTCCCACCTCAATGCAAAAGCGAGGTTAGACTACAGGACACATCAGGTCCACTCCACTCAGGACTTGCTAAGGCTCTGCAGGTCGGCTGGCACTGCCTAGGACAAGGCTGGAGGGGAGTTACAGGGCAGACTGTCAGCGGGGGAGAGAGGGGGAAGCTCACAGGACACTCCCAGGTCAGAGAGGCTGCAAGATGAGGACAAGCAGGGTAGGAAACGGAAACACAGCCCCAGGCCATATCTGGTCAGCACGGTGGTACTGGCGTCATGGAGGATCCCCCCAGCGGGGCTGCTTACCCGTTGTGGGGGGGTGTGGATCAGGGCCCGGTAGAAGCAGGTGGTCTGGGGATACAGGGCCAGCACGAGCTGCTCCTTCTGGAATAAGGCTTCGGGGTCTGTCTCGGGGTTGGCCTTCCACTGAGGCAGTGGGATGATACGCCGCCGGCTCAGGGTGTGTCTCCTGGAGGGGAGCTTAGGTCAACCCATGGCCAGGTAGGGCGCTCCTCCCAGCAGTGCCGCTACCCCTAGGCCTCCCTTGCCCTGCCCCCAGCCAGCGCACTCACTCTTTGCCTTCCTCATCAATGTCGTCTACCTCATATCTGTGGGCGAACAAAAGGGGAGCAGTGGGTACCGGAAGGTGCATGGTCCAGGAAGGGGGCCCAGGAGGGGGGTGGAGAGGGAAAGTAACCCAAGGAGCTGGCTGTTCACATGCCGGTTCCCACAGGGCTGGGTGTGTCCACTCACTTGTTGGTGGCGTGGCTGTAACTGACCACCTCGGCCAGGATCCATTGCTCATCCCCATCCACGGCCTTTACCCGGGCAGCCACCTTGTCCCCAGGCTTGGCCACGTAGTCCCCAGAGGCTGGAATGGCCCCACAGAGTGGGGGTGGCCTGAGAGTGGAACCGAGGGTTAGTCCCAGCCCCTCCCTTTCCAGTTCCCCGCCCTGAGCCTGCCCTCACTTGTCACCAGGCTTCCCGATCCATAACGGCAGGGTCATGGCTGACTGCTGCAGTAGAGTCATTAGCACCCCCCTGCGCATGGTCTTCCGAGGAGGTTCCGAGTCATTGTACAGGCCTGCAATCTTGGCAGCTGTGGGAAGGAAGCGAGCCCCTGAGGCACCAGGGGTAGGGTGCCCGCCCCAGGTCCACCTAACACTGAGCTGTGAGAGGGGCTCAGCTCCACCTCTCAAGTCAGCACCAAGGGCCCAGACGTGACCCCGACCCTCCCACTAGATGGCCACGGCGAGACAGTCGGGCTGCACTAACAGGTGGGCGAGAGGGCGGCTCGGTGGATGCCCTTTGGAGGAAGGAACTGGAAAGGACCATGGGGGCTTCTGAGGTGCCGGGCAAGTTCCGTTTCTTGGTCTGAGTGCTGGTTACATCCATTTGTTTAGTTAGTGAAAATTTTCTTGAGCTGTATATATACTGTATATATTTTCTTTTAATATGTTGTAAACAAAAAGTGAAAAGAACTATCAAATGTGGACAGACCCCTTACCTCCTCAGGCATGGCTCAAAACACCCAACTTCAAACCCAGCTGGAAATGTGACATTTTTGATGGATGAGGAGGGTGCCCACTGTGGGTTCATTGAAAGGGCAAGAAAGAGGTGGGGAAGCAGGCTGAAGGGGTCTGGAGGCCAGCGCCCCGTGCACACGTCACCTGAAAGGCTGGCTTCAAGACATCCCGGTGTGACTCAGACAGAGAATAATGACACAGACATACGAATTACACTGAAAATGACACAAATTATACTGGAGGTGGGGGGGAACCGCTCTAGGCAGTGGAGGAGGGAGAGAAACCTGAGGGAGTGGGGCAAACCACGGAGTTGTGCAGAGGGACAATGAGGAGGCCCTGCCTCTGAGCCCTGGGAGTGATGACGTCCCTTCCGTTCCCAGTGCCAGGCTGCCCGCTGTGCCTCTGTCAAAAACCCAGGGACCGACCCGTCACAGTGAGCCTGAGGTTACAGGCTCCCCCGACAGGAAGACGTGACTGCCCCTCTCAGGAGCCCTCAAGCCGCCTGGCCAAAGAACCCAAACAAACTTGTCTAACTCACCGATCCGCCTCTCTTCCAACAGAGACTTGATTTCCGCAATCTTATCTAGGGCTTTCCGGAGGATGCTGAGGGTGGGGAGAAGGGAAAGAAGAGGTCTGCATGAAGCACAAAGCATAGATTTCCTTTTCTGGTTAATAATTCAGATCAACCTTCTTGCCAAAAACCATGAATCTGACAGAGATGGTGTGTAATCTTAAAAGCATAAAAAATCCTGATGACGCAGGAGGAAGTTATAGGCCAAAAACCTAAGAGGATCCTAGATAGGTAAGGGAATCAGAGAGTGGAGTCCTTCTCCATGGAAGACTAAGCACCATTTTTAACTCAGTACCTGTAAACACTGATTGTTTCCTTGAGGAAGAACTGGCTATTCTCCCAGAGGGAAGGGTCATGTAGTCAAATCGAGTCACGAAAGGCCCTGGGTGTGTAGCCACTCTTGTCTAGAACATATTTAAGCAGAGTGCCCAAAGTGAGACTCTGGAATCCCAGCGGAGGGAAGGACGCTTCACCTGGAACTGTTCCCAGGCGAAGCCCGAACCCGGCGCCGTCTCTGGGGTTCCCCAGTGTCTGCGTGCGGGTGTTGGTGCTCTTCCGCCTGCTCGTGTTTGCTCTTCTTGCTTCCTCTTTGCTCTTGCTGAGTAAATTGCTTAAATATTCACCTTTGACTTGGGGTTTTTATTGTTTGTGAATCCGAACCTCCAAAATTAAGTGGCCACGATCTCATACGTGCCCCTTAATGGCAGAGGGAAGCAGCAAACACCTGCCCAGTATACTCAGAGCATCCGTTAAGCGTGGCTGGTGTAGGATGCAGGAAGGACTCGGCCAGAGCTTGTGAGCACTGAGACATGCAGCGATCAGGCACCCAGGAAAGCAGACCAGGAGGAAAAGCCAGGAGGCCGAGGGTCTATGCAGCACGTCCTGGCTGTGTTCTGTGAGCAATTCATGGAGTGGTTCTCAGTCTGAGCTGGATATTAGAATCCCCTGAAAAGCTTTTAAAAAAACTGCCACCCAATTGTTTTAAGTAAGAATCACAAACAGATACCAAAACTAGTGCATCTGATGGAAAATGGGTTATTTAAGTCTCTGAGTATCTCCCATAAGATACTTATTATTAATTACACAATGGAAAACATCAGTAACTTGATACCAGAGAAACCTGGAAAAGACCATTTTAACCAATGGGACACTGTCTTCTCTCATGATGCACTGAGGACATCACTTCCATGCTATCACTGCCCAAAGTGTAAAACCCGAATCTAGTCGTGAGGAAACAAATCTACATGGAGGGGCATTCAACAAAACCACTGGCCTATGATCTTCAAAACGTCAGGGCCATGAAAGGAAAAGATAGCCTGGGAACTGTTTCAGACTGAAAGAGACTAAAGAAACATGGTAACTAAATGCAACAATAATCTATACCAGAAAAAACTTCTTTTGCTACAAAGGACATTAGTGGACAGAGATGAAAGTTGAGTAAGACCTGTAGATTAGTTGATATTTTTATATCCGTCCTGATTTTGAGAAATGTACCATGGTTATGTAAAAATCTCCTTGGGCCCTTTGTAGAACCCCCATTACTACCACCCACAATTTTTCAGGGACTCAGAACTCTTGACAAATGACAATGACAGAAAAAGATCCTAATGAATTAAACAAAAATACCAGCAGAAGTGGAGGAAAGCCTGAAGCGGACAGAGAGCTGTAAAGCGGTTACTGGGACAATGGCTGTAAATGCAGAAGACATTCCAACCCAAACAATCTTGGACAACTCAACAATTCAAAATGCAGGTCTTCTTCATCAGCCGACAATGAAGGCCAAGAGCAGTCTGTGAAGCTGATCCTCAGAATGACCTTTCTTAGGATCAGGTCAAGAAACATGAAATCGCAGCAGCTGCAGGTAAGGACTATCTTCTGACCGCCCTTCAGTCCGTGTGAACAGCTCTGCCACGGCCAAATCCTTCCTGGGACACCGGGTTGAACACAACACTTACCGTTTTGTAAAAAATGTGCTCTTTAAAAAAATTTATTGATTATAAAGAAGAAGGAAAAGTGGTGGAGGGAGAGACAGATATCAATCCATTGTATGTGCCCTGACTAGAGATCAAACCCACGACCTTGGCATATAGGGACGGTGCTCTAACCAACTGGCCTACCTGGCCAGGGTGAACATACTGCTCTTTAATGATTGCTAAGATTCTATTCCAACAGAATTGATTCTGGATGTTTTTTTCTATTTCTATATTTATTCTACATGTTTCATTTACTTCCTCTTGAATGTAAAGTTGTGAGTCAGCTACATAATAAATAAATTCGGGTAAAAAAATGTCCTTGTTTTTAGGAAATACTGACTGATAAGTTTAGAAGTAAAAGGGCAACATGTCTGCAATGTAAACAGTTCGGAGAAAAATATGTATGTATATATAGAATGGTGAAGATGTGGAAAAACTCTACATTTATATAACTCAGAAATTATATACAAATAAAAAGTTAAATCAATGTCTGAGTATCAGTGTCTGAGCTCCACCCCAACCAAATCATTCTGTTGAACGCACGCAGTTAAGAGCCCCAAGCCCTAACCTCCCCCCTCCCAACCTCAGTGCCTCCCCTCTGACCTATGGGGTCAGAGGCTATTACAGTGTGAGGGGCTATTATGGTGTGGGCCCTTTAAAATACTCCAATAATGCTGCATACAAATTCACTGTGTAATTATTTGATTAGGGTAACATTTAAAAAATACAAAAGGGAAAACAAATTTCTTTTAGGCCTTCTTCTCTTGCTGATAGCTGGAATTGTGCCTGCCCACGTCCCTCCTCTGCCCAGGCTGCAGCTGGGGGGGATAAAGGCAAAAAAAAATGTCAGCTTCTCAGGCACATGGCTTCTGTGCCCAACTCTAAGTGGTCTGTGTCCGGGCCGAGGGGGGAGAGCTGATGCAGCCTGTGACTGCGAACACCAGGGCACTCCTCTGGTCAGTAACATGGGACAATATCCATGGTGTCAGGTGCCTGCCAGCGAGTGGTCTGCTGTCCAGGCCCCAGAAAGATGGACCAGGCATTCACTCTGTCCTCTAGCCGCTTGATGCTTGGCCCGTGAGCCATTCAGCCCTTAGAAAGCTAAGGTGTTCCTCTGCCTGCCCGGGCTTTGCCACTCCTAGAACTACCTTCCCTAGTTGGCACTGAGTGAGGCTGAGAACAACTCACTGTTTGTAGTCAAAGTGAGAAACGCCGTCCCTCTGGCTGTTCATGCGCCCTCACAGAACTGCATCTTGAGAAATGCCTTTTGAACTAAGGTTAGTTAATACCTTGTTCCCAGTTGGGAATGGCTACCTGCCTTCCACTGGAATATGGAAAAATGAGATTTTTAAATCTCGTTTCCCTGATTCCTGCTGCCAGTGTGTTACTTCAAGGCCTTATTATTTTTAAAAGATTTTATTTATTTATCTTTAGAAGGGAAGGGAAGGGGAGAGGGAGAGAAATATCAATGTATGGTTGCCTTTCATGCGTCCCCTGCTGGAAACTGGCCAGTAACCCAGGCATGTGCCCTGACTGGGAATCGAACCGCAATCCTTTGGTTCACATGCCCATGCTCAATCCACTGAGCTACACCAGCCAGGGTCAAGGCCTTTTTAAAAAAAGAGATGACTGTTAACTGAAGACAAAGGGGTTCCTTTCCATTTTCTGTAAAGCAGGAGGAGGAAAACCAGCTGGGAGGCAGTGTGATACACACAGCAACGCCTCTCAGGACTTGGGCTAGTTCCTGAAGCCCGCACTTGGCGCCTCTTCAGTTCCAGATGGTCGTAACTCACCTCTTTAGGAAGTGAGCAGACGCGTGTGGTAGCGCCTGGATCAGTGCTACTGGGTAATGCATGTTCCCCACCCAGCCTTGGAGCTCCCTGCAGGCAGGGCTGGCATCTTTGCTGCCCTGCCTGCTCTCCCATACCCAGCATGACATCTGGTGCTCAGGAGGCCCTGTTCAGGGTTTAGCTGAGGAATATATGCATGTGTGAGAGTCTATAAAAGTAAAACAGTAGCAGAACTGCAAGAAGTTGGGGCCCGGAGTTATGAAAGAAGCTTAACTCTAGTAAGTCAATGCCAGAGAAGAGCCCACACCAAACTGGTTTCAGAAGCTGTCACCTCACTTTGTTAGCAGTTACGCTGGGAAGGGACAGTTTGCCTTCTACTCTCAAATAAGCATGAGTTACTCTGACTTACACCAGTCCAGGTGACTGGGAAGAGGGGCCTGACTGTGGCCAGATGAGAAATCTGCAAATCAGGGAGAAGACAGGGGTAGGCACTGGTGTGTTGGAGAACTAAGGAGGTAATACTTCCTGTCAAAATCCAATGTCTCCTCCCCAAAAGTCAGCCCCACCCTTTTGTTCTGCTCCCCAAACTGTCATAGAGAACCCTACCAAATCCATTTGCCCAAGATAAAAACCTTGGAGTCTTCAACTTCACTCGCAACCAGCCCCCAATTTGATCTCAGAAACAGCCACTCTTGCTTCTCCACCGCCACTGCCACCGTCTCACTTCAGCTCCATCAGGATCTCTTGCCTGGTCTCCTAACCAGCCTCTGACTCACCTACTCTGCTCCCCACAGGCAGCCAGGGTTTTTTCTCCTGCTTTACATCTTCACTGGCTCCCTGTCACATCACTCAGGGATAAAGTCCAGGTAATGGAGGCCCTCCTCATTCCTGCCCTCCTTCTCCAGCCAGGACTAGTTTTCACTCCCCAAATGCACGCGTCCTGCAGGCCCTCCTCCGTGGCCTTTGCATTCTCTGTCCTCTCTGCCTTGTCTGTCTACTGGTCCCCAACTCGAGCCTCTCCTCCTCCGAGGCTGTCCCAGATCCCCAAGCATAGTGAGCCCCATCTCTCTGCAGGCCCACACAGTTCACTAAACTTTCTTTTTTGGACTGCTTGCCTGTGAGGGCAGGATCCTTACTATCCTTATGTCTCTACCTGGGGAGTGCCCAGTGCCAGAGGCAGGGGAGTGCCAGCACAGGTTTGCAGAGTGACTGACAGCAGGCAGAGAAGATGTGGGCTCAGAGTACCAGGAAGAACCTGGGAAGAGCCAGGTAAGAGGACAAGAAGAGTCCCGGAGCCCCCTGCAATGCTCAGTGTGCTGACCCTGAGCATGGCTGTCCCTGTCCCCCCAGCCCGGCAAGTTAGCCACTGACCACGTGTGCAAGGCAGCGTTATGTAAACTGTAAGCTATGACTCATCAGTGGATCATGTATTAATTTCTTGGGTAACTATGTTCAGTATTTTTTAAAAATCAAACAGAATAGACTATGCAATAACAACTATAAAAACTATATTTCTTGTTCTAATTCTGTGATATATGTACATATAAAATAAGTGTGTGTTGTGGAAAGGCATCATTATACCATTCTAGCAAGGTACTAAAGAAGAGGGACTTTGGGTTTAAAATTGGCTTCCTCCACTTGACTAGTTGTGACTTGTGGCAGATTATACAACCCCTTGTTGTTTCGATTTCCTCAGCTGTTAAATGTGGCAACCCCCATTTCAGGACTGCTCAGAGGATTAAATGAGGTGAATAGATGAAGTATTTGGAATAGTACCTGACACACAATAAGGCCACGGAGTTGTTATTGCTATTATTATCACCACAATACAGAATATATTTCCTAATGTAACTTACAGCCAAAAGAGTTTGAAAAACCCAAGTCTTAGGCATGTTTTATGCATTATCTCATTTTACATGGACAATTCTACAGGTAGTTATTATCCCTATTTTAATGATGGCACAACTGAGTCGCCACTGAAGTGACTGCCCAAGTCACATGACCAGTAAATGGCCCCGCTGGGACCTGACTCCTGCCTTGCTGCCATCCATAAAACAGCAGGGCTAGGGGGGAGTGGGCCTGGAAGTGGGCTCTAGGGAAGGCACGCTCCACGGGAGAGGCTCACACACAGCAGGAATGACAGGCCGAGGCTGTGGTCCACAGGTTCCTGCAGTCCGGCATCTGAGCGAGGAAGGGGAGGCGACGGCAGGGCGTGGGATGGTACTCACTTGCACTCGGCCTCTGCATCGGCTTTGGCGGTGGTATAGAGGCCACGCAGCTTCGTTCGGTAATAGGGAGAGACTGCGGAGTAAGCACAGGGAGAGGGATGTGGGTGATGCACAGCCGGCGGGAATGTGGCACTGTTTCTAGTGCACCAGGGTCAGACTTTCGGGGGCACCGAGAAGCCACAGGCCGAGGCATGAGCTTTACTGGCTCAGAAGTGCTCTCTGAGGCACCTGAATTCCATGTACTATGAGTTCACATTTTAATACAGTACAAATGCCATTACTACGTCTAAGGGAGGACTTTCTTACCTCTGCCATAGCATGATACACACAGAAAATATTTCTCAGCACGGGAAGACAGAGAACAATTCTCAAAGGTGCTCGAGAGCTGGACAGCACAGGCCAGGGACCTGACCTTCTGCGGGCCTCAGGTACACTGGGAGGAGCTCTCCAGAGACACCAGTAGCTAGGTGCTCCTGTGCTCTGAGGTGTTCCCCTAGATGCAGCCTCATTTCACTGCCTTTCCAGTCCCTAGAGTTGGGAGATTTTAAGGTTCCTTAGTGCTACGCGGTCTGTTATCTGCCTCCTAGGTCACCCAGCCTAAGGGACAACTGTCCCTCTGGCTTAAGAGGTAGCTCATTTTGGATTATGCAGATACATGCAAGAGTCCCTTTAGAAAAACAGAGCAGCCATGTCCCCGTCTTGGCCCACACCCTCTTCTCTGCCCTTTCTCTCCTGGCCCAGCTACTCACTCTTGTTCTCTGTCTGCATCCGCTCATGGGTCTTCTGGATGTTCACTAAGTTGTGTTCACTCCGTGAACGCTCTTCCTACAAGGACGAGGTCAATAGGTCAAAAGGGAGGCCCGTCATCCTGCTGTGGCCCCTGCACCCTAGGCCAGAGGTCTCATAAATATGACCCTCATCTTCCAGATCCAAACTCAGGACTGGTTCAAAAGGATGTTTTTCCCCTGACTAATTCAAAAGTATTACACAAAGCATTCAAATTAAATCACAAGTTACAGATTTAATGACTATCAGAGAAGACAAATTGATCTACAGATTCAATACAATCCCCATAAAAATTCCAGCTGACTTCTTTGTAGAAATTGACAAGCTCATTCTAAAATTTATATGGACATTCAAGTAACCCAGAATAATCAAAATGCTTATGAAAAAGAAGAAAACATGGAAGGACAAACATTTCCCGATTTCCAAATTTACTACAAAGCTATAGTGGTCAAATGGTGTGCCAGTGGCATGTAGAGCAATGGACTGGAACTTGAGAGCCCAGAAATGAACACGTATACCTATGATCGATTCACCCGGGGAAACAGGGGTGGGGAAGGATACTGGTGCAATTGTTCCCCACATCAGTGGTCCTGGGATCAGGGCTGTGACTGAAGATGTCATAAGCAGAGGTGATTCTTAGTCAGAATTTCTAAGTGCCTGGCAAAATGTAGTCAATGGTGAATGCAGCTATGTTGCCTAGCTGTGGCAACGGCCCACTAGTTCGGTGCCTGTGTGAGCCGACCCTGCGTGAACCGGAATGACTGAGAGGGGCTGGGGAGGAGGGAGAACATGACTCTCACTAGACTAGTGGTGCTGCCCCAATGTGGGCCAGGACAGTGGGTGATCCTATGGTTCTTTCAAGGACAGTAAAATCTGGGTAAAAATTAATAACAAATGGAGAAAAAGAGAATGGTAGCCGAGGGTAAAAGAATGAATGGGTTATGCAATGCTGTAAATTCACTATTATATTAATACCACAA